TACTTCCTGTGCGCATTGCCAATGGTGAGTTGAAGGAGCTTTGGCAGAGGCTAGTGGGTGTGCACAGAAAGTAGGCTCAAATCTGCAGGACAGGGAGAGGCCATAAACTGGAGTCTTAGCTCTGTCCCTGGAAAAGCAAGAGGGAGGCTGTCAGAACCAGGCCTGGTGTGTGGCAGGATCCAGACGCAAGGGTCTGGCCTAGGGAGCGCGCAAGAAGCGTGAAGCAGGTGTGTCCACAGAAGGTCTGAGAAGTCCTTGGAGTCACTAGAATCACTCAGAGTTGCTGGCAGGGCCGACAGAAGGCATTCCTCCTCTGGAGGTCAGTCAGAAAATGAATCCAGTCCATCAGGGCACTAACAAATATGGATTATTATTCAGCCATAAAACAAGGAGGGGCAATGGAGCTGCTGCTCGGGGCTGAAGTTGATATCGGAGAAAAGCGTGGGTGGTCTTTCTTCGTTGCTAGTGGGAGTGGGCTCCTGGGGTACCACTGGAATAAGCATTTCTGGAGGCCCCACGGGAAGATGCGACATGGTAGAAGCTTTATTTGTGTGGAATTACATCCCTTTAGTAGAGCTAAAAGCAAAGCCAGTGTCCAGAGTTTTCATTTCATGTTGGAGCAGGTCCAGTTCAGCATCAGGCTGGTTACAGTTCATTGGTCCATTGTGTGTGGGGGTTGACATGGCTGTGGACCATGTGGGCGAATGCAGTGGAGCCAAGAAAATGTACCCCCTGCGACAAGAATCCCAAGGGCAGCCAGGAGAAACCAAGAGAAGGAATTCCTTTGTTTAGGGGATTAAATATCCCAAATTTCGCACCCTTGCAGTGGCCATGCCTCTTCTGGCCAGTGACCTGTTCCCAGGTGTGAGAGTTAAATTTCTATGGCAACGTTATAACAAAATGATGAGGACCCGCCGCATATTCATATTTATATTTGCTTGTTAACAGCATGATAGGAAATGAATAGGTGGTTGCCTGTGGAATTGTGGGGGGATGGGCAGAGAGAATGGGGAAGGGAGCCAGACTGTTCACTGCATGCCTTTTAATATGTTCTTATTATTGGTGTAATCATGTGTGTATTGCCTAAAAAATAAAATAATTGCATTTCTTTTGTGTCTTAAGGCTGTAGTAATTCAGCCTCTCACCCTTTTAAAATTTATGAATCTATGTATTTATTTCTTCTGCTACACAGGAGTACCTGCTTATTGACATCCAGATAGTTCTCTAACTGGAAGATGTTTGGTAAGTGGAGGGTCCTGTTCATCGAAATATTTTTAGTGCTTAACAGAAAAGCTGGGAGCTTAAGAAGAACATTAATGTGGCACAGAGACAGGAAGAGACTTGCCCGAGGTCACATTGTTAGTAGGTGGGGGCCCAGGATCCAAATCTAGGCAGTCTGGTTTCAGGGTTCATCTTCTTAACCACTGTGCTAACTAGCCTGCACTGCTAACTTGCGCACTGCTAACTGCGTATCTTCATGGCAGGAATGTCTCGGTTATGTTATGATAACCAACAACCTCAAAGATCTTTGTAGCTCACAACAGCGAATGTTTATTCTGTTCTCAGTCTTGTCTGCTATGGGTCAGTTGTCCCTCTGCTCCTTACAGTCTTCAATATTATCCAGGCTAACCAGGCAGCCTCTGATGGGGGGAGGGGATAGACTGTGGTAAGTTGTGGTCAAGTTTCATTGGCCAAAGCAAACGACAAGGCCAAGCCTGCTGTGGGTAGGATAGGAAAGGATTCCCCTCCTGCAGGGAGGGACAGTGAATTTGTGAACAATGACACAATCTATTACAATGCCTCACTTCAATCCAGAAGTGTAAGATCATATATGTCTAAAAATGGGTAACGTGACATGTTGTAATTTTCTTTGATTGTTATAGTCTGTTGCTTCTATAATCTAGACGCGTGCTTATAATTAGGTTCAAGAAGGAAAAAATTGGATAGAACGTTTATTTTCGAGCCTAAGAGTTTATAAATCCAGCACCTGGAGAAACTGGATATCCACATGCTAAAGAATGAATTTGGATTCTTACCTTATACCATATAAAAAGATCTAGATATAAGAGCTGAAACTATAAACCTCTTAGAAGAGAACATAGGGGAACTGGCTTGGGCAGTGATTTAATGGATATAACACCGAAAGCACAGGCAACAAAAGGAAAAATAGATAAATTGGACTTTATCAAGATTAAAATCTTTTGTGCATCAAAAAACACTATCAGGAGAATGAACAGGCAAATTGAAGAGCCAATGCTAAGATAAAAGTCTCAACTTCGAATCTTCCACTAAGGGCTTCCCCTCTTGTTTATTGCCATTGAGATACATAGTGGGGGTCTTATTTATTATATGCAAGAATTTTGTGAGAGGGGTATTACTGCCCCATTATATAGGTAAGTAAATTATGGCACAGAAAGCGTAAGAGATCTATACAGATTCACATAGCATACTGGAAACAAAGTAAAAACTCTAATCCAATGGTTTAATAGATTTCCACTGCTTTTTAAAAAACCAAACCACAGCCCTGGCTGGGTGGCTTAGTTGGTTGGAGCATTGTCCTGTACACCAGAAAGGTTGTGGGTTCGATTCCTTGTCAGGGCACATACCTAGATTGTGGGTGGGTTCGATCCCCAGTTGGAGTTCATGTGGGAGGCAACCGATGAATGTTTTTCTCTCACATCAATGTTTCCCTCTCTGTCTTTCTCTCTCTCTCCCCCACCTCTAAAGTCAACAAACATATCTTCAGTTGAGGATTAAAAATATATATAATAAAAAAATTAAAATGACATCACTGCTACCCTTATAAGGTTACATTTTTCTATCCTTCTAAGGATCTGACCACCCCAGACCCCCAGTAATAAACTTAAACCATAGTCCATATATTTCCTATATACTCCCCACCCACACCCCAGCCCAGCCAGCCTCTTTTAGAACTGACTCGGAGCCCCTCCTTATCTTGGGGGAAATTCGAGCTGTCTGTCTTCTAGGGAAATCGCTAGATGTCTACACTTCCGGCCTCTAAAAGTTCGCAATCTCTCCTGCCATAGCACAGGAAATGTGACAACCGCAGCTCTCCCTTCTCAAAACAGACGGTTGCGGTTTTCTCCGATGTCTGAATTCTGGGGCTTACCTTAGGTTAGGGTTCTGCTTGTTCTTTTCTTTACCGCAAACCCATCCCCTCTCCTCCTCAGCTGCGGCACTGCTCTTTGCTAACACCACCAGACTCGCTCAATTCCAGCATCCACTCTGCCCCAAACACAAATTGCATCTGCCAGTCTCCTTCAAGCAAATTCTAACACCTAATGTATTATCTCATTTTTAAAAATCATGAACAAGTGGCGTACTAATTAACCAAAAATTACGAAGCCTAGGAATACTGGGATGGAGCTCAGTGGTGTAATAAAAATAAAACTGACAATTTAATTAGACATCCATCTAATGACAGACACAATCATTGCGGCACTTGGTTATTAGACATAAGTGGTAAGTTTTACTCAGGTGACTAGAATTTCCATTAATTTTGTAAGTCTCTCCTATAGTTTAATTCTCGCTACTGACAACCCACATGCATCTCTTTGCTCTTTTCCATGCTCTGAGGAGGGTCTGTAGCCGATGTCATTTTGCGAGAACAAAGAACAGACAGGATACCCCATAACTTTTCTACCTCCTTGCCTTCTTTCCCGCCTGGCCAAATGAACTCTTTGTTTCCTCCTGCCTGATTCCTATTTGTTGCCAGTGTTCCCTTTGTCTTATATGCCCACTCCTTGCCTCTACTCAGTGTGTCATTGAACATCCCTCCCCCTTTTCTATTCCTTGACCAGCTGGAGCAGTCCAGGGTCAGTGTGATGCCAACCAGTGTAAGGCTGTGGCATCTTTGGATCAGTAGGCTGTGTCTGGCAGCAGGTTCTCTCCAGAACTGCAAAGAGGACTATGTTTTGACCACTGGGGACCAAGAGACTATCCCAGTTTGTTAAAATATACTCAACAAATATGATCAGATAATCAGAACCTGTTAAAATGGAGATTCAGGCCAAGAGCAAGAAAATTTTTAGCTTAAGTCTAAGAGTTAGAGCTTTGTTGAAGGACAGAGACTCAGTCAGCTTGGTCATCTTGGCTATTGGGTTGTCTTAAAGGGGGTTTCCTAGCAGATTGCTGGCCTGATCAGACATCTTCCTCATTTCCTGGAACAATGCTCTCTCTGCTCCAAGCTCGGCTCCAGAAGCTCTTCCCCAAGCCTGGCCTGGAGGATTGGTTAGGGAGCTATGCCAGTAACCTGAGGAAGACTGGCGCAGTAATCTGATGTTCTGTGTTTCCAGGATCATTCCCAATTGTCAATATTCTCTTTTACTGTCTTCATAAATATGCTTGTTCTTGACGGAGACCACAGAGAACTCGATCATTTGGCACTCTTTTCACAGATCCAGCGGTACGCTGTGTCACATGATGCAGCGTCGAATGTCTTTGTTAGGCCTATGGTGACACAGTTGAAATTCTGGCGCTGATTGGTAACACTGGATGGGAAAAGATAGTATGGTTAAGGCCCAGCATTTCAGCCCTGCCTTTTTCTGATTCCAGTCCCCCTCATACCCCCAAATCCATCTCTAAACTGACCCTTTCCTGTCAACTCTCATGTGAACCTTTATGGATTCATAGTCTTGGGTTGACTCACTCTGCGCTTGGTCAGAAACATCTCATGGGTCATCTGTTCCATTTCCTCCCAGAAATAATGTTTTAGTACTGAAGGTACTGTGAGCACAGCAGGAGACCTGAGAGGAGGGAGATACTTGTTTTCTCTTCCTGATAGCTGGTGGCTTTAGGAAAGAGATACTTCGTTGGCCTTCTCCCACCTCTTTTCCTGTCATCCAGGCCCTTTCAGTCTGACTGGAGAGTCTGGTTTCATGGAAAGACCAAGAGCTTTGAAGTCAAGTGGACATGGGATCAAACTGTGGCTCCATCAATTCAGAGCTTGGTTACATTCAACATAATTCTAGGTCTCTCATCTTCCATCCAACTGTCCGTTCAGTGGGGATTAAAAGCTTTTGCTATAGCATCATTGAGAATACTGCAGGAATGATGTGTGTAAAGGGCCTGGTGCTTAGTCAACAGTGAATATTAATTTCCTCTCCCCTGTGGGAAGCCCAGCTACAGGCTGGGGAGCTGCCTGGCTTTCTGTCTGACTCAGCCTCTTCAGACCTACACTAGCAATGTCATGTTCTCCACCAGTGCTATGTCCATGGAATGACAGGTAGGAGATAGCTCTTGGAAGTTCAAGTTCACAGCTTTATCTTTCTTTAGATGAAGAAGCCACATCTTGGGAACTTGTAAGAACTTAGTAATAAAATGTGATCTATGGGTTAAAAGGGACTTATGAGATATATCAAACAAATGGTATGCATGTGGGTTTGTTTGGATCCTAATTTGAACAAAATAATTTGTTGCATGAATACTCTTCTCTCTACTTAGAAATGTTTGATATGTCCCATAGTAAAAAATAAAAATAAAAGAAAATAAAAGAAAAGTCTATCTGGGAATAGATGGGTTGGAAGAACAGAGAGCTAGGTCTCAGCTTTTGTGCTATCCCAGGACAAACCCACTGAATCTCAGGTCTGGATGTTTGAGGCAAACAAAGATCCCTAGGAAAATGTGCGATGTTCACCTACTTGCCATTGAAAACAGAGTTGTTGATCCAACGCCACCTTTTCTCTGCTGGTTGGTATAGTAAGCCAATAAAATACTTCTCAGCTCCAGTTATGTCCTGGAGAAACTTCTAGAAATTACAGAAAATAAACAGTTAAACAGAAAGTTCTTTGCTCTTGCTTCCCTTGTGCCAGTGGGCCCATGCTTATACCGTATCTGATTCTGGGAACAAGGAGTTTCTGGTAGGGGGCTCTGGGACTGGCTGTTGCTGGCACTTGACATAAACCCTAAAGAAGTAATTTTCAGTTTCCACAGAGCATCAGGACCACCAGGAGATCTTGTTCTAACACAGGCTGTTGGGCTCTGATTCAGTAGCTCTGCTGTAGGGCACCAAGGATTTTGATTTCTAATACATTCCCAGGTGATTGAAAATGAAGAGGTTGGATACTATACCATCTCAAAAAGGATAATTTCACATACACCTTTATTTGATTCTCTCTGCATAAGATTGTTTTCATTGTCAGAAATTTTACATTCTGAATGAGTTTTGGTCAAGAGAATTCCTTGAGTGCTTGGCAAGGGAGAACAGGGATATTTAAAATGTATGGCTAAAGCAGATAGTTCATGAGAAATAATCAGTGCTTACTGAGTATTTCCTAGCTTGACACTAATCCAAGACATTGTAGTTTCTGCTTTAAATTAATGAACAACAAATCACCCCAGCCAGAAGTCTGGGAACTCCTGGCCTCTTCTGTACCCTTCACATACTTCCCACCATCAGTGGATATCCGAGTCCACTTGGCTATTCTCTCCATCCCCATGGCCGTTGCCCTTATTCATCTTTTCTCAATGACATCCTTCCTGGAAATATCTAATTTCATTATTTTAAAAAATTAATTATCCAATTTACTCATTTAACAAATGTCTGAGTGCTTATTACATGCCAGGTGTTGTACAATGCTGGGGATATGAGAACAAATTTGTTTCCCCTGAAGAAATTATTATCTTAAGAAGGGGTTGGCAAGCTATAGCCAGTGCACAAAATCCAGGCTGTAACCCATTTTTGTAAATAAGGTTTTATTGGAACACACCCAGGCTCTTTTTTCTTAACGTATTGTCTATGGCTGCTTTCAGGATACAATGGCAGCATTAAGTAGTGTGACAGAGACCTTATGACCTGAAAAGTGTAAAATATATACTACCTGGCTCTTTAAGAAAAATTTGCTGACTCCTGGTCTAAAACAGGGGTTCTTAACCCTTAACCCCTTTGCTGGAAGCCATGGATAGTTTCCAAGGGGATCTATGAAGCTGTCTGAATTTTATTCAGAATATTGTACTTATGTCATGTTTCTAGTAAGAGATGCATAGATTCAGCACCATTTCTAAAACCTCAGTCATGCCACAGTTGAAGGTCCACAGTTCTAATAAGACAAGATAGATGAGTCCGCCAGCATAGTGAGGTGTCCCAGGAAATATGCACTAGCTCTGGCACGGGCAGAAAGAGGAAGTGATCATTCCATATGGATTTGGGGTTTTCCAGAAAGACTGTAGATGAGGTGATACTTGAGATGAATTTGGGGAGATAGCTGCTTGTCAGGCAAGGGCATGGGTCAGGATTCAACTTTCTGGAAGAAGGAGCATGAGATCGTAGCAAACTGCAAAGCAGCCTGGAGCATTTGAGGAATTAGAAGGTGTTCAGTGTGGTTGGTGCAGAGGTAGAAGGGAGGTGGATTGACAGAAGTAGAGGCTGAACTGTATGTCATGCTGGGGAAACTGGGCTTTATCCTATTTAATTGGGCACATGGCATGGACAGCTTAGAGCCTTAGAGATTTTATTATATCAGTTCTGTGGAGGATAGGTAAGACGGGTCCAAACGAGGGGCAAAGAGAGGAGTTAGAATTTTGAAGAAATCCAGATGGGAGGTGAATTATTTGCTATAGGGATAGGTAGGAAAGGATTTGGTTAGAAACTAACTTAGGAGAGAAGAGAGAAGGTCAAGTCCCAGAAAACTGTCAGCATTTGATCTTGGGTGACATGATTCCCCTCAAGGATTTGGAAGCCAAGAGGAGGAGCAGATGGGGTAAAGTATAATGGACTCGGTTTGAATATGGTGAGTTTGCGATGGTTTTGAAACATCAAAGGGGGATTTGATATACTGTCTGGTCTGCAGAAGGCTAGCTGGGGAAGGCTGAGCTGGAGAAGGTTGAGCTGGGGAAGGCTGAGCTGGAGAAGGCTGAGCTGGGGAAGGCTGAGCTGGAGGAGGCAGAGCTGGAGATACAGATTTGAGGGTCATCAGCAAACCACTGGTGTGATGAACTTCTTCTGGGGTTAGCATGGAGTACAGTGGTAGAGAATGCCAAGAATGCCACTTGAGATGCACCAAAACTTAAGGGTTGGTTAGTGAAAAAGAGGCTATTGACTTTCTGTCCCATTCCACTCTTCTCTTTTTTTTTTCTTTTCTCCCCACTCTCTTGCTCATAAAGTATCTTTCCTTCCCACTGGGGCTCTTAGCTCTTTGTTGGACATCTACCTCCAAGATTCACAGGAGACCCTCTTACAAATTCTTCTCAATCGCAGGAGGACTTTTTAGAAGAAGAGTGAAGGAATAGGGGAGGGAGGCAAGATTACTGTATGTAGCACAATGTCTAGAACTCAGTAAATGCTTAGGATTTGAAGGAGAGACAACTATAAACTAAAATATATTAGCGTCTAAAATTATGTAGAGTGGGGCTTTGGAGTTAGATCTCAATTCCATGTGCTGTCCCTTGGTAGGTGTGTGACCTTGGCCAAATTACTTTTCTGTGCCCTAGTTTCCTCTTGTATAAATTACAGATAATAACACCTCCTCAGAATTGTTATGAGTATAGAAGGAGATAAGAAAACAAAGCTTTTTGCATAGTGTTAGCTATTTTTAGTGTCATAATTGTATACTGCAATCCCAATTCTATGACCTAATTCTTTGTGTTTATTTTACTCATTTTGTTAATTAGCATCTTCCTTATTAATGAGGCAGGCTGGATGATATATTAACAGCTCACATCTTTGAAGTATTCTGTAGTTCTTCACAACTTTTATTCACATCAGGTCACTCGGTAATTCCCTGGACTTTAAGTGTCCTGGCCCATCCCCAGGATAGCAGTCTGCTTCATGGGAGAAACCACAGAGTGGATTTCACTGGCTCACATGGACCTGAGGAGCACACCTCGTTGCTGCTCCGAAGAGCCTCCCATCTCCAGGTTCAGAACAAGGAGCATGAGCTCCCAGCCAGCCACCTCTCCACCGCCCGCCTCGCCCCGGATGCACCAGCCAGGTTGCCCCACCCCCTGCTCCCACTGAGGCTGGTGTCAGGGGGGCTGGGTTCTTGTGCCCTCCTCATGCCCTCACCAGTTTCTCTGGCATGTTGACGATGGCCAAAGTCGATCCTTCTGCTTCGCAGCTCTCCCTGCTTTTGTTCCAAGACATTTCAGAGGAGGACAAGAAAAAACATCTTCCTTGATGAAAATCCCACCTGGTGGGGCAGACTAAGGAAATCCGAGAAAAGAGGATATGAGATTAGTGGTGGTGGGTGTGAGCCCTGGAACTGAGTCATGACAGTGGGACGTGGGTTTCTTTATAACAGTTTCATTTATACAAGTCATCCTCAATCCAGGAAGAAATTTCACCCAGCTAGTCTCCATTTCCCTGTCTATAACACGAAGGGAATGAATGAGAAGGTCTTTATGGGTCCCTTTGAGCAAAAAGGCTTCATAAGAAAGGGAGCAATGTAAAAAGTCTTTAAGAAATCAGTACATAAGAACCTGAGGGTGGAGAGGAGGGTGTACCCATGCTCTTTACCTGTTCCAGAGCTCTCTGTGGGCATGAAGCTCTCATTATTGTTCCCGAAAATCTGTGGGACTGAAAGGAAAAGAAAACCTTAGGGTAAGCATGTGATGAATGTAACACACAAACATCGGAGCAGCTCCCAGTCTCTGTGACTATTTGTCTCTGGACAGTGGAGGTGACATGGGGTTCCTGGTCACTCTGTGCTAGAATTTTTCAGATATTTTCTTTCTTGGAACCTTCTATCTAACTAGGAACATTATTTGTCATGCCCAACACCCCAAAGTTCTAGTTCATGCCTTTGTGTGTGTGTGTGTGTGTGGCAGTAAGTTTGAAATGCTGAAAGAGCAGGAGAAAGGAAGAGGAATGGATGAATTTAGTATCAGAAGGAAACCTCTCACTCCCTTCTCACATTTATCTTTGATGCTGTTATCCCTGAAGAGCTATTTGGACCACTTCCCCCTCCAGGCTTCACACAGTATCTCTGCTGCTCTCCCCAATTTTGGTGCCTCAAACCCTCTATGAAATCTCATGACTAGTAACTTTTGGACCCTTCCCTGATCAGCACCTATCACCTCTAAAGACTGTGGCTAAATGGAGCATGTTTCAGGACCAGGGCCTACTGGCAGACAAGAAGGCACATGAACATTCCAGAAACTTCCTATGGACAGAAAAGAGTCAAATATTTCTTTAAATATAGATAGGGGAATTGATAGGTCTCCATGAGGCCTCCTGTTGCCTGGGAACACTGACTCTCTGAGCAGGCAGGTGCAGTGGCTTCAGAGGTGGTAAAACTTATCCTCAATGGCCCAATTATCTGTCCATTGTGGTTGAAGACCACTTTAGATGACCCAGACATCACGTTAGCTACTTGCAATTATGTTAATACAACATGCAAGTTAGCATTCACTTTTTATTTAAGTCTCCAGTTCAAAGGCTCTTTGTGAGATATAATCACCTGGTTTTCAAGAGAAACTGTTGGGGATCATAACTGAACAGAACTCCATAAATATTTCATGAGCATTTCCTCCATGTAGCTCAGTGTACTGAGTGTGTCGGTTGGTACAAAGACAAACAGGAAATTGTAATTGTCCTAAAGGCATACATAGTAGTAAGTGTCTTAAGAGGAAGTGAGAGGGAGCCTCGGAACAGCTTTAAGTGGAGGTGGGTTTAGTAGGGAGAGCTGTGCCTCACCCATCTCTTAACCCCCATAGCTCTATAGTTGACTAATGTCTCCTGTTTTTATTTTCTTTCTGTGGTTTGTCTGGTATTGTGCTTGACACACAAAAATACGCTGAGTAAAATATTTTTGTGGGAACGAACTTTTCTGTAACAATTCCTTTAGGCGTACAACATGTCAGAGTTTATCAAGTACTTTCACATTTCATCACAGTGATTCCATACTAATCCTCCTCAGACCCAGGAGGGAAACCGAGGACCAGACATCTCACCAAGTCTAGTCTTGGTTTCCCAACTATAAAGGGAAGGGAACTAATTAGAAGATTTTTTTTTCTGGCTGTGCTGCATTTATTTTATATTATTTTTCAGCGTTACTGAGATAAAATGACATATAACACTGTGTAAGTTTAAGGTGTACAGTGTGGTGATTAGATGCACATAGATACTGCAAAATTTATCACCACAATAAGGTTAGCTCACACTTCCATCACTTCACAGAATTACTTTTCTTTTTTGCAGTAAGAACATTTAAGATCTACTCTTTCAACAACTTGCAAGTATAGAATACAGTATTGTTCACTGTAGTCACCATTAGATCCCTCGAACTTGTATATCTTATAACTGAGCAGATCTTTATGGACACTTCCTGTGAAAGAATTTCATGGGAAGAGTCCTTGAGAAGGGTCTTTAAGGAGAATTCAGCACATCAGAACCAGGTGGGGAGGGGATTATTGTCACGCACGTTACCTGTTCCATAGCTCTCCTCAGGACTGAAGCTGTTATTACTTTTGCCAAAAATCTGCGGAACTGCAAAGAAAATCAGCTATTGGCTCAGCCCCAATTGCGGGATGAATGCAACAAACAAACATCCCCATGGGGGCTGCTAGGGCACCGTGACTATTGCAGGGAAATATAGAACTCTCTGACTCAGGCCAGCAAAGACGTGGATATGTCTTTCGTGACTCTGTTCACTTATTTGCATTCGTATTGTCCTCCTGCTCTTTGATGTGATAGGAATTGCACCTTCAGGTTGGGTCATGAAGACACCTTTTACTCAACTCCTGCCTCCTAATCATGTGTCCTTCCTCACTTTTCCTACTGGCTCTGGGGCTGGAGATGATTCTACTTGCTGCAATGGCAGTAAAATCCCTTGATAGGAGGCTTTTCTTTCTAAGCATTTGGATGAATAAGTTTCTATGGACACAGAAGGAAATTCCTCCCTCCATAAAATCCCCTTATCTTACTTTGCAGCTCTAATACAGCCTAGTATTAGGATGAACTGCAGCTGAATTTTGGCATTTTAGCAACAATAACAAGCACTACTGAGTATTTCAGCTCAGATTACCCAACCAATACTCTAGGGCAGAAGCTTTGTGTGGGGATCTAAGTCAATTCTACATCTCCAAGGTAGACCAAGTAACCTGGCCCATGGTGTGTTTTGGGATGTGAGAAGGGTGTGAGAGTCAGTTGCTCTCAGGTGGAAAGACTTGGGCAGTTCACCTATACATTTAACCCCGCCTTCTGAGAAAAGAGTCCAAGAACAAGTCAACATGGAGCTGGGGTAAGAGGTTGCTCAGATACTCACAGTGAAGCAGAAATAAGGTCATCCCGACAACTTTAAGCACCACTACGATTAGCCCAGAGATGATCATGCACCAGTTCATGATGATGAGATGGGGAGGCCTGTGGGGATTAGAGCACAGTACCCCCATCAGTGTCTGGGAGCTTCTTTCCACTAGGATGATGCCAACATCTCTCTCAGAGAGCCCTTGGGAGCGGGGCTTGGAAGGCAGGCATTCCATTGACAGGTACAAGGAGGAGACCCAGCATAGGCCCAGAAGACAGATGGGATCTTGTGCTGGTTGGGAGCTTTGATCTTGGCATGCTGCCTCCCCTTCACCCATCCCTCAGCGCTGGGCCTCAGTCCTGCTTCCATTGTGGCCTCCTAACTTCTGTCCCATGAACTAATTACTTTCCTAGACCTTGAAAACCCTTAGCCTTGAAATGATTCTTGCTCCCCAGCACCTTAGTCAGTCATCTTGGTCATGCTGACTCCGGCTATCAGAAACCTCAGTCTTTAGAAGACTGTGCCAGGA